TGTTATGCATCAGAGAGTTGGACAATGACTAGGGAGGACAGAAGGAGAATTGATGCCTTTGAGCTGTGGTGCTGGGGAAGAGTATTGAATGTATCATGGACTGCCAAGAAAACAAACAGATTCATCCTGGAGAGGATTAAACCAAACAACTCCTTGGAGGCAAGGATTCTGGGGCTTTGTCTGATGTACTTGGGGCATGTTGTAGGGAGGGACAGGTCCTTGGAGAGGGACATCATGCTTGGGAGGGTAGCGGGATGGCGCAAGAGGGGAAGACCCTCTATGAGATGGATGGATTCAGTGACTGGGGTAATCTGGTTGGGTGTGTCAGAGGCAGTGCGATTGGCACAGGATAGAGCAGGGTTTAGGGCTGTTGTACATAGGGTCGCTATGAGTCGCCGGTACATAACAGTGATATTCATAGTTCTGTGTTACCTCTTCTAAATTCAGATTCACTTTCTGGCAAGTGTATGTGTTCATACTGCAAAAATATATACTGAGATTCTATAAGGTGCCTAGCATATGGTGGTAAGTTTGAGTTTTGAGGTTTAAGTCCTTATTTTGGAAACCCAAAAGCCTTACTTATTTGGTTGTTTGAATCCACTACTCACCCTGTGAGAGAAAGATAGTGGCTGAGGGGAACATCAGGAACGAGATCTCCTCAATCCTAGGTGTATGTTTTAGTAATAAAATATCTAGAGTTTGCTACTAGATTGGATTCAGGGGCCTCAAGGAGGATTCCTATGTTTTTGTTCTCTTGGGCAACTTGGCAAATGGTGTACTTCACAGAGATAACCGGAATTGGCAAAGGAGAAGCAGGTTTAGGAACCATAAAGAAAATTGACTTCTGCTTTGTCTTGGTTATATTTAAGACACATAATAGACATCAGAGTAGGTATATGAAGATAAATTAGTCTGAAATTCCCGAGAGAAATAATATCTTATGGTAAAGATTTGAGAGCACGGACTTTAGGGATGTAGGACTGTGATCTTCTTGTATAACTATTGAGTATAGCTGGGTGTTTCCTCTAAGAATGCTTGAATAATTCCTGGTGTTATATATTAAACATCAAATAGAATAAAACTTAAAAAGTAGTTATGTCTTACCATTATTCTTCGGTTTATTTTTTAGTAGGTGATAACATCTGTAGAGAATCATTCTATTTTTTTTAGTATTATTTTCTATATTATATGAATTTCTTTGCCAGATGTTTCCTTTCCAGGTTCTCAATTCATTTGAGCCATTTTATTATGTTATTTTATTATAATCTTTCCCTGGCAACTTTAATATTAGCTCAGAACTGGACACTCACACAAATATGAACACACGCATAATTGGAAAAAATTCTAAATAAATATAATGGTTTGTACATAACACTTACATATAGCTGATCTTTTTTGTACATGATTAATGAATCAAAATAATTTTTTGGAAACAGTTTAAGTCACAAATTCTGACTTCACAGTGTAGTCAAGTAGAGAAAACAAAGATATATGAAACCATAATAGAGAAATGATTTGGGTAACTGTGACAGTCATTAGTTCTATTTGCCAAATAGTTTGAGCTCTCTGCCTTCTGGGCACACAGTAAGATTGCACTTCATAGCTATGGTTGAGTGAGGCTATGATACTGTTTCATGCCAGAAAGTTTTGATTAAAAGTGACATGTGGAACTTCCATGCCAGAAATTTCCTTTTCTTCTGCCATAGATACTGGAAGTGTTGTACATGTTGTCTGCTCTGTCATCTTGGGCCCTGGAATGAGGACAACATGGAGTGAAGTCCCAAGGCTACCTATAATGGATATGCAACATAGATGATAATTAAGACTTTGTTGTTTCAAGCCTCTGAGATATTGATATTTGCCACTCCTGTTTAACTAGATTGACTCTGATAGATAGAATATCAGTTTATTTTCTTGATAGAAGCTTGCCCATATTTAACTTCTTAGCCCCATTACATTACTGTATGCTTAATAAAAAAAAAGGTAAAGAACCACAGACAACATTGCCTTAAAGTTTAGTATCACTTCCTTGTAGTGAAGAGTGACACTTTTACTATAAGCAGAATAGAGGATCAGAATAAAGACCTATTTTAGCTGCATTATTACACACTTAAGGAATTATCCTCGTCAGTCAGAAGTTTTGCTTTCTCTCAGTACACTTGGTAAAAGTAGTCAGGAGATTAGGAGGTGTATAGCACTGAGAAAAATCTGCAGTTAGGGTTCTCTCTAAAGCACTGAGGAACACTGATATCAGTTTGAGGACTAAGCTTTGGTCTTTTCTGTCACTTTCTGTGTTGCTGAGAGCTGGACAGTGAATAAGGATGACAGGAAAAATTGATGCCTTTGAGGTCTGGTGTTGGAGAAGAGTACTGAATATCCCCTGGACTTCCAAAAGAACAGAGATGGCTTTTAGAAGGGACCACTTTGGAGGCTTCTTGGAGGCAAGGATGCCAAAGCTTCATTTCGCACACTTTAGTCATGTTGGTAGGAAAACTTTTTCCATAGAGAAGGACATCATGCTTGGAAAGGTGGGAGCATGGTGAAGAGAAGGCAGACCCTCAACCAGATGAATAGTCACAGTTAATGGGCTCAAGTATGTCATAGATTGTGAGGTCGCACAGGATAGGACCGAGTTCAGATCTGTTACTTATAGGGTCGCTATGAGTCATATTCAACTCTTCAGCACCTAACAACAGCTATAGTAATATAGTTGTATAATACAGAAACTTTAGAACAATTCCAAGTAATTAAAATGTTTCAAGCAAACTAATTTTGTTTAAATTTATAGGATTAATATGTTCATGTTTTCTCAAGCAGGCAGTGGGAGTAGATTTTCTTTTTCCCAGAGCTATTTAACAAATGCTCCTTGTATTCCAGTCAGACAAATGGAATCAAATTCCCATCCAGAAGGTTAAGAGAGAAAACACTCAGGTTTGACATCACTTCACCCCACCTAATGATTTCACTTTCCATTTGACTTGCTTGTTGTCTGGCTTAG